TTTTTATTCTCTTCTATGAAATATTATAAACTTTGATTATAAGCACTTATGTTCTTGTCACCCTAGACAAGACAAGGTTTGTTGATATCCGTGACACCGTGACACTGAAGGACGTAACGCCAATGGCACTGGTGTTGCAAGTTATGGTCATCATCTTTTCATAATTTCTTGTTCTTGTTGGCATTGAATATTGGATTGGTAGTTCTTGCCTCTGAGATTATTTGTATTCCTGCCTCTATTTCCCACTCATCTGGATTTAATCTGTGTAAATCTAGATTATAGTTTTTATTTTAGAAAAAAAATTAATTTTGAATAACTAGTTTATAGCGCCAAAGTTGCCAATTATATATTAACCTCTTCTGCTCCTTGTAGGAGATGATCTTGGAAGAGTATGAGAAAATAAAGGAGGACGACGGGATCGCCTTTCGTCTTCTCGAGGGCCGACGTGGCGGAGGCGGACGACTATGATTTCAAGGTTGGGGACGTCTGTAGGGCTGTCACGCGTGCCGACTTCTTCAGTTTGTTAGTGATGTTTCTTCTTGAACTATGCATAAGATATGTAATATAGTTGTGAGCAAGGTTTTTTTTAAATGTAAGTAAGGTTCCTTTTTTTTGTTGTGTTTGTTGGTTGAATGGGCTCTCTTGAATATGTGATGTTTGGGGAAATGCCTATGAGATAGAGTGATATGTTTTTTTAGTTGGGCACAATTTTTATGAATACAAGGTATTTGAGAAAATGTGTGCGATATGGAACACCAATATGCATGTTATAGTGGAATGGTATGCTCCCAATGAAAGTAGTTGCTAAATGTTAGTGGTTTCTGATATGGTTTCTGAAGAATGGTTTAGTGTTTGTATATTCTGTGTGACATATGTTGCTGTTATGTGACATTATGATGCTGTTATGTGACATTTTGATATTCTGTGTGACATATGCTGCTGTTATGTGATTTTTTTGATATTTTGTGTGACATATGCTGCTATTATGTGATATTTTGTGTGACATATGTTGCTGTTGTGTGATATTTGGTATTCTGTGTGACATATGCTATTTTTATGTGATATATTCTCGTTACCAGAATTTGACATATGCTGCTTCTGTGTGATATATTATAGTTACCAGTTACATGATAAAATGTGAATTTGTAATTTCTTGGTGATCTTTTTTCTTTAGCAAATTAAATTGAATCTGAAAGTAAAGTTCTTACAGGTGTCACAATTAATACCAACAAATCACACGAACAGGTAATATGTCACATTGAAGTAGTAAATGTCACAACAAAATGTCAAAAGTAACATGTAACAGATAACAATCACAAAAGAGTTTGAATTCTGCCAGGAAACATTAATCTTGGATAGGTTCAGTGCATGTGGCTCGGTTATGTCCTTCAGCGTGACATCATATCGCAAATAGGAAGTGTCCTTCAACGTGACATCATTCTGCCAGGAAACGTTAATCTTGGTGATATTTAGATCTGATTTGTGATATTTGAGATGGTGGGTTGGGATTGTAACTTCCTGATGTATTTTTGTTTGATGGGTTAAAATCCTTTGTAAGGATGATTTTGATCCAATTATAGTTCAATTTGGGAGTGTTGTTATGTTTCTTAGTTATTCAAGGTTAAATGGGAAAATAAGGGAACATATATGTATCATAATTAACCGTAAATGTGACAAATAAGCATATCATGTGATATTTCAATGTTATATGTGACAATTCAATCTTACATATGACAGTTATACCTTATATGTGATATTTAGATCTGATTTGTGATATTTGGGTGTTGTATGTGATATTTCGCTGTTGCTTGTGACATCATTCTATCTCATAGGCATTTCCCCAAACATCACATATTTAAGAGAGCTCATTCAACCAACAAACACAACAAAAAAGAGGAACCTTACTTAGATTAAAAAAAACCTTGCTCACAACTATATTACATATCTTATGCATAGTTCAAGCAGAAACATCACTAACAAACTGAAGAAGTCGGCACGCGTGATAGCCCTACAGACGTCCCCGACCCCGAAATCATAGTCGTCCGCCTCCGTCGTGTCGGCCCTCGAGAAGACGAAAGGTGATCCCGTCATCCTCCTTTATTTTCTCAATACTCTTCCAAGGTCATCTCCTACAAGGAGCAGAAGAGGTTAATATATAATTGGCAACTTTGGCGCTATGAATTAGTTATTCAAAATTAATTTTTTTTTCTAAAATAAAAACTATAATCTAGATTTACATAGATTAAATCCAGATGAGTGAGAAACAGAGGCAGGAATACAAATAATCTTAGAGGCAAGAACTACCAATCCAATATTCAATGCCAACAAGAACAAGAAAATATAAAATAGATGATGACCATAACCTGCAACACCAGCGCCATTGGCGTTGCGTCCTTCAGTGTCACGGTGTCACGGATATCAACAAACCTTGTCTTGTCTAGGGTGATAAGAACAGAAGTGCTTATAATCAAAGTTTATAATATTTCATAGAAGAGAATAAAACATGATGCTTTCCAGAAAATCTAGCCAGTAATTATTTCTATTTAACTTTTAGAAAGATCAATTGATAACCCTACTCCGTTTGGATACCATGGTGTTTTCCTTGTTTCCATGGTGTTTTGGCCAAAAACAAAACAATGTGTTTGGAAACTATGGTGTTTTTAAGCTAAATCACCATCAAACAAAAAACACAACACTTATTTCAAAACACCTTTTAGGTGTTTTAAGTTTGATGTTTTGGTTTTGAGTTTGAGAATGTGTTAATATAATATCTAACATAATATATTAAATATAATTAATATAGAGTTATTATCAACATGCTTATTATATTATACTATACACTATACTACATTATAGTTAATTTAATAAATTAGTAATATTTATTAAATATTATCAAAATATAATAAATAAAATATCTTATATAATAATATTAACATATTAAATACCAATATTTAATATGTTAATAATGTATTATATAATAAATAAATAATAATAAAATATAAATAAACTAATAAAAATAATAAAAAAGTTATTGATAATAAATAATAATATAATAATATACTATACTATAGTATAATCACTATAATATTATTAACTTTTTAATAAATAAATTGAAATAAATTAATAATTATAAAATATTATATAATAGTAACATAAAATATTATATAATAGTAACATATTAATAATACCATAACAATATAATAATATTATTATAAACATATTGTCTAGTAAATACAATATAATATATAAAATATTAATATATTATGTAATAAATAATATAATTTATTATAAAATAAAATAATTTTTAATAATAAAATAATTATTTGTTAATAAATGTTAATGTAAAAATAATATATTCATAATATAATAATATTTATTTATATCATAAATACTAATATATTATTAAAGTACTATTAATAAACTCTAACATATTAAAAACTATAATATATTATATAATTAAAAATATTAATATAATATACAACAATAACAAATTCATATACCAAAATAATTAAATATATAATTATTTGAAAATAGTATGTAATAATTATAATATAATAATAAATATAATATAATATAACTCATTAAAGTACAATATAATATTATAATACATTATACAATATTATATTGCATTACATTTAATACTTATAATACTATAATAATATAAACTAAATATTATAATATTTTATTTATAATATATTTTATTATAATTAATATAGAATATATTAATAATATTTTTAATATTAATGTTATAATGAGTCAAACTAGTGTTGATCAAAAATACTTAACATGATGTTTTGAAATCATTTTAAGGGAAAAACACAACATCATGGTGTTTTTTTATAAAAACACAACAAGAAAAACACAATGGTATCCAAACGAATACCATTAACCAAATTATTCTCAGACATTGCAAATCATAAAAAATCATACTGTTCAAATTACCAAATTTAGAATGTTGGGCGATCCATGATCGTGCGATCCCTGAACACTCGTTTGAATGTTGGGCGGCTGCTGGCATTGAAGAATCTCTGCTTTGAGAGAAAGCTAGGGTTCTTGGAGAGGAGGTCGAGGGGCGTCGGCGCCGGAGAGGCCGTCTACGTAGATGATGCGGACCTTGCCGGAGGCGGAGGATGAGGGCTTGTCGTGTTGGGGGGAGGGGGAGGTGTTGGGGTCAGCTCAAGGAGAAAAGGGATTGTGGGAGTATTAATTGGGGAAGGGTAATTTGGGAATGGATTTATTGGGCAGTGGGTTTACACAGTATTTGGGGGTTACTTGCACTCCTTTTTCGGAATAAGGGTTTTTGGGTTATGGTTCTTGGGCTGGGGGTGAGGATGCATGGGCCAAGTTATTTTGGTTCCTCCAAGCAATTTTCCCTTTTTTTTCATTTCATGAATTGATTAGAATGCAAACCAAACAAAGGAAAAGATAAAATTAAAATTGGTGAGGTGGATGTCAATTTTCTTACTTGTTTCATAAATACAGAAGTTTACTACTGACAACCAAACAGGCCCTTAACCAAGTTAGCTTTGCCTCCTTTGAAAACCAGGCACTTGTGCAGGGTCATGTAGTAGCCATACGAAGCTTGTCGTAGTAGTCATAACCTGTAATGTTATGTACAATTTGTATTATTGCCACAAATATTAATATATAACTATCTCAAGCAGTTAACTGCGGATGCATTTCTCCCTCACCGTCACGCTTCACTCTTGACCAACTCTGTCAGCATTCCAGGTGGAATTGCTATCAATTAGTATGGATTTTCGTTATTTTCCATATTAGACCCTTAATCTTTAATATTTTGAATTTTGGGCATCAATTCATAAATATTGATTTTAGGTCACCCAATTCTTGTATCTTGCTATTTCTACTCTTAATTGTAGGGATTAATTTGAAACAGCTAACTTCATAGTAATTTTCAATGATGTGAGGGACTAATTTCAAAGATATGAAAGATTAAGGGACTAGTATGCGAATCCCCTAGTTGTTTTTTTCCAAAAGACTGCATAATCAATTCTAGCTAAATTTAAACAACAAACGTTTAAATTACATGTCCACTTATTGAAATATACAACTTTATTTTGATAGCGTGAAGTGCATATTCACTGACAGGCGAACTAACAAGAAGGGAGATCCAATGGAATGTTGCGATCACCACTAAACTTATTTAAGTAGTCTTTTCTCAAATTACGTCACTCCGTGTTGCTGATGCTGCTTCGACTTTGTTTTTGTTTGCATGCCTGAGGCAGAACAACTTTATCCGGTCAAGCGCGATACTAAGAGAGGACGGGTCAATGGCAAAAGTGATGCGAATCCAATTTTTTAATCCAACAGTGATTCCTGAAAAAAAAATAATTCCACATAACCACAGGTTATCCAACTAAAGAACATACAAGTCAGTGGTCGCGCACGGGTGTTCACTACCAGAAAGTCTATCACGAAACATATTTATTTACTAAGCATGGGAGAAAGAAATCAACATACAAGAAACCTCAAAGTATAAACTCAAATATGGAAGGTGGATCACTGGGAATATGCAAAAGCAAAAACTAATTATTCATTCAAAACTTAATTCAACTAGAACACTGCATCAATTTTTAGTACATATTTTTGCATGTTGAGGGATCTGTTTAGCTGCAATAGATTGTTTTGGAGGATGTATCTCACATATAAACTAGTTAACCGAAAGTACTTATACCCAATAAGTTCCCAAAAGTTGTATAAGTGGAGTTCAGTGATATCCTAGCTTCTAGCTTCGACTAATGACGGAGAAGAAGGTATTATAAACTAAATATATGGTAAGAAAGCAGTAAACATAAGATATTGTAGGATAATTAATCAACTGCAGGTCCAAAATGCTTTTTTTTTCGCTTCAACCAAGTCGTCCAAAGAATTATCTATATTGAATGCATGATTAGTGAACGGTAAGCTCAAAAGTTCTATCGTAACTAGAAAATAATAAAATGGAGTCATATGTACAATTTAGTCCATTCTTATAAGAATATTATAGCAAGTACGTGGAGCTCACCAGGCAAAACTATTACAGACTCCTCTTTGGCCAACTTGCAGCAGAAGTCTACACAATCTTTAATGCCCTCCAAATAAGAAAAATCCAACTTTGCCTGTATAAGATTAAGTAGACATAATGTTAGCTAAATACTATCAAGAACGTTCCAGAGAAAGGTTTAGAATTTAGATTTTCGAGAGCATCACCATCACAAACATGGACCCTTCTGGCTTATAGGGACAAGTAATGCAGTCAATCTCCTCCAACTTTTGATGACATATATCAGATGCTTGCCTAAGAATATAAATAATCTTGTTGAAGAAATCATCCTTTGTACTCTTGAGAATATGAGGGACTGCTCCCTAGAAACACAACAAATTTGAAAAATTAGACAACTACAAGTAAATGTACTTGGTCAAAAAGTTAGGAGGATTAGAAGAAGATATAATGTAGCACGAGACACTAGTTTAGAAAGACTTGCTTTGCTGGACATGATGCACAAGTATCATAACCTATGTTGCATAGAAACGGCTATAGATACAGGTACCGATACATGGGTACATGTACAAGACATGGCAAATTTGTAAAAGGTAGGGTATGGGGAGACAACTAGAGACACACACACACACAGTATATTTGAAATTAATAATTTACAAGAGGTCAATATTGTTTTTCATTCACATGTAATGAGAATTAAAATGCCTATACAATTTTTATGTTAAACTATGTGGATTATAACTTGGTAGAATGCTCGTTTTTTACTAGGCACTCAGACAACCCTTAAAATCATAGTTCAGAACCTGACCTATGTCCAACAAGCTTCTAGAAGTTGATATGAAGTGTCGGATACATGTCAAAGAAGTGTATAACAAGGGTTTAACATTAGAATATGTGTTGTATAATTGAGTACATGCCAGAAGAAACATATGCATATATGCAAGAAGTGTCCAAGGAGTTTCGATACGGGTACGAGTACGGCTTCACATAGAAGTATCTAGGTAACATAGATTATGACTTATCAGGAAACAACGGAGAACCTTAATCTATGCTAGAAAGATAATATTTCAATCACAGTTGAGTAACTGCTTCAAACTTCTATTCTTGCTTCACTGAGAAGTTTATTATTCCTTTGTGAATTTGAATGTTAAGTAGCAATATAATTTAAAAAAAGAAAACATAAGATGTGCACCACATAACTATTCATTACATAAGGCTATGTCAAGACTACATTACAGCATGTTGCGGCAATTTACACTGATATACTCGCAGTTGAAATATGTTTGATGGCTTTTTTAAAGTGGAAAACAATCATTACCCAAATAGCTCCTATCCAACAGAATATTAACGAGCAGCATAGACTGGTGCAAACTGCAGCATAGAATGTTCCAGCAATTTGATACCAAATTGTAATGTGTTTCTATACCCCTCTCTGAGGTTTTAGGAAGTAACCTGTCCCCAGAACTCTCCAAGTAGATTGATGTCTCAAAAAAGTTCATACATAAATATTGAACAGAATTTCTTTTAAATGCAGCGTAAATGTTGGTTTCCATCTACTTAATTTTAGAAGGACGATAAAAAAGTAAGGAATGCATGATTTTCAAAATCCTAATGGAACTGTAGTTTAATATCATCTATTCTAATGCCAAACCCTTGAGCATGTGCATATGAAAGAAAAAAAAGGAGTAATCAAATAATTAATTATAAGAAAAATCATGGTTCCACAATGCTTCTGGAGCCTTTCAATTTTGTCAAATCATGAGGCACCATCATATAAACGTTTCATGGAACCTTTCAATTTCCAACCAACGAAGAGGATCTTCTTGTCCTTCAGCAATACATTCTTTTGACAAATATTTAAAATACTTCATATGAATTTTTCAATTACACATGTATCTGCGCATCATCAAAAAACATTACAAAAGTTTAAGAAGGATGGCTTCATTTTACAGTTTTCAATAATACATTCCAAAAAGCTACTGAGAAAATAAAAAGCAGGAGGCATGCACAGAGGAGATGTATAAATTTCCAAATTATAAAAACATCAGCAGATGCTGGATGACATCTTTCAAGAATACAATAACAATGTTGTGACCCCAATCTGAAAATTGTGAAATTTTATAAAATCAAATTTGTCACCATCTTCTACATACCAATAATCAAAACCCACATATCTTATCAAGTTGATAGTCTTAGACATTGTCATTTGAAATATTAATTCAAATTTTTGTGCTGTCATCACTATTAATTGATTTGTTACCTGGATTTATGATTAATCCCAACTTCCATTTTATAGTGAAGTTCAATGTCTGTCTACTAAGCTCTTTCTATCTGCAAAAGTTTGCAGACTGTTTTGTCCTTGCCTTTTGACTTCTGGATAATTTGTGTTCACTGTAGTGAAATATGGTCTCTGTATAATGCTCATGTTCCCAAACTAACACCATGGTTTAAAACCGGTCTAGACTCCCGCCTAAGCCTAGATGATGCTTAGGCCGCTCACGTGGGTCTTGGGAGTACCTACGGGAGCATGGGCTGTTATGCATATTACAAATATTAGGTCGTGATCTGAGTTCCTCCTTTGTCACTTTCACGTCCTCCTACCTCCCCCAACCTTCAGCAGAATCTCTTCATATCTACAGTTAAAAATGAAAAAAAAATCCCTTATGCACTAGGTGCTAGCGGCCGGGTTTGCACCTAGTGCTCACTGTAATATTGGACTGTTTACTATTTACTCTATTTATGTGTGGTTGATTAGGATCTATTATTGTTTTTTTTTCTTTTTATGGGTTGCAACTTTTATGAATTTAACGTATTTTGTCAATTATTATAATTAAAAAAAAGAAAACATAGTCCGCCTAGGCTACTGCCTAGGCAACTAGGCTTTAGGCTCCAACTCTAGTGCCTAGGCCACCTAGCATTTTGTGTAACCTTGAATACCACTAGATGTTTACTTTATACTCTTTTTTGAATCTTGTTTAAATCTTGGGGTTTTTGTCTCTAGATCTAAAGGCTTATTCAAATTTATGTTAAAAACCATATACTTTAATTGATACCTTTAGATCCATTCATCTTTGCGCATTTATCTTTAAACTCAAATTTTATAATTTACTACGTATAATTATGTGGTCAATTCAAAACATTTTTTCAAAGAATCCATGTTTACTCATTTATTAATTCCCTCTCATACCCTTCGCTCTCTTATTTCCTTCTTCAACTCTCATAGACACATTAAATACTCTTTCAACTCCATTAATGCCTAAGGTTTAAATACTAAATTTTAGTGGGATTCATGTCATTTTGATATTTTAAGATATAAACTCTCCCAATTACTCAATTCCTAGCTTTTTAGCATAAATTTAGATAAGCATTTGGGCTAATTATAGCATTATTTTGTCATTTTCTTCATCAGAATTTTTTACATGACTATTCATGATTCCTCATAATTGTTTATTATAAATAATATGAATTAATAATACTAAAATTTTCAAAATATTAATTTTATTTTCAGAATTTTAATTTTAATTTTATGATTCAGATTCTAATTTGTTGCGAGACCAAATTTCATACTTAAATTTGCTTTAAGTTGACTATCTTGATAAAATTTGCACATATTGTTTCCTTTTGTTATAAACAGTCATGAATGATGGGTTGTACTGTGCATTAATGGATTTTAGAAAAAAATAATCACTACTTTAATTGAATGTCAAGGGGAATTACATTGATTTAATGGTTATAATTCCTTAGGTGCAAGCACAATTAACTGACTTACAAAGTCTCATACACAAAAGAAGTTGTGCATGTATGTGACGATGATGATGTCTTGATGTATCAATGTAATCCGATTGATATGCTAATTATATCTAGTCTAATTATATTAATGTGTTTTCCTACTATTCTTTCAATAATACTTGTTACATTTGTGGTTTATCCTACAACACTTTCAAAACTACCTATTATATTTTCTGAAATACCTGCAACACTTTCAGAAATACCTACTATGCTTTCAATAATATTTGTTATACTTTCAGCATACCTGCTATACTTTTAAAACTACCCGTTATACTTTCAACAAATCTAGGGACACGTGGTTTATCCTACTATACTTTTAGAAATACCTGCTATATTTGTGCTTTTTCATGCTATACTTTCAATTATATGCTTCTAAAAATACTAGCTATACTTTCAGAAATACATGCTATAATTTCAGAAAAAACCATTACACTTTCAACAATATCTACTATAACTTTCAATAATATCTACTATACTTTCAAGATATCTACTGAACTTTCAAGCATACCTGGTATACTTTCAGAAATATTTGCTAAACTTGTATTTTATTCTACTATATTAGAAACACTTGCTATAGTTATCTTCTCATGTTATACTTTCAGATTTGTCATGTTTACTTCAATAATATCTACTGCACTTTCAGAAATACCTACTTTACTTTCAGCAGTACCAGCTATACTTTCAGAATTAAATGTTATACTTTTAGAAATTAATGCTATACTTTTAGATTTTGCACCACAACCATTAAAATCATTATATTCCCACTTAACATTCAGTTTAATGAAGTTATTATTTCCTCTCAAATCCATCAATAGACAACAATTCATCATCCATCTCTATTTGTCATAAAAGAAAATAAAATACGCAAGTTTTATCAAGGATAATCAACTTAAAGCATTTTTTAAAATGAAATTTGGTATCACAACAAATTAAAATAAAAAATTACGAAATTAAAATCAATAGTTTGATTTTTTTAATATTATTAATTATAACAAACAATCATGACGAATCGAGAATAAATATGTGAAAATTTGTGATGAAGAAAATGATAAATTAATGTTATAATTGTCCAAAATGCTTGTGTTGATTTATGCTACAAAATTAGAAGTCGAGAAATTGAGAGAATTTATAACTTAGAATATCAAAAAAAAGATGAATCCCCACTAATACTTAGTATTTAAACTTTAGACATTAATGGAGTGAAGGAAAATTTAATGGGTTTATGAGAGTTGAAGAAGGAAGTAAGAGAGTAAAGGGGTGAGAGAAAGAATGAGAAAAAGAGAAGGGTAAAATTAGATTTTTTTTTATTACTTTTAAGGTGGGGCACATAAGTATGTAGTATATTTGAGAAATTGGGTTTAAAGATAAATACATAAAGGTAATTGAATCTAAAGGTACAAAGAAAGATATTTAAGTTTAAACATAAATATGGGTAAACCTTTTGGTCTAAAGATAAAACCTCTTAAATCTTACTTCTCCACTTGTATATGATAAATGATATAGAAGACTGCCTTCATCCTTAATCAACATGCTTATACTTCTTTCTTTCTCACCTAACATTTCACTATGGATTCTCAAATATTTTATCCCTCCTTTCAATACAGTCATAATGTATAGAAATAAATAAATACCATTAAACAATATGCTAGTATTATTATTCTATTCTCACTTTTCAATCTATTTTACCAGATCTGAAACTTCATATTACAGCAGTGATTCTAAACTTCATTTGCAAATTGCTTTCTCTCTCTCTCCAAAGAAAAGATGTAGTTTATTCTATAGCTCACGTCATAAAGTTTACAGTTCTCTTCATCATTTCAACCTCTGCAGGCCATGAATTTCAATAAACATGAGAATTAGCGCACCCATAATCATCCATCTAGGTTCAAATACCTTTACTATCCTATTTTAATTGTTTTATGACAAAGTTTCAGAAATACACGAGATCATGTCCTCTGAATCTGTGCCTTGACAAAACAAAGAACTTTCACTTTTAACAAAATGAAGAACATCCACGAAGACAATCGATGTGCACAGCTATTGTTTGCCACCTCATCTCGGTGACTACGAACCGAGCAGACAATTGCAATTTGTTGCCTAATCTCAACGACGTGAAACCATGCACAAAATCCTATCTCTATATTTGGATACCATAATTAAATTTGCACCACTGCTGTTTTCACTGATCTCAACCGCGCGACAGGCATATATTGTTGGTTCAATATGACATACGCACCAACTACATGTGAATAAGTTGATTATGTATTCGCTTCTCACTTGTCATTATCATCCTTTACAGAAACTACAAATACAAATGCTAAAACGCTACGGGCTAACAAGAAACCTACATGCATTCAAGTATCTCCATAGTAAGGAAGCCAAGGGAAATATACAATTGTACTATGAAGTAGTGCAGTTCATCATACATACATGCAAACATTATTTTCTAAACACATGGAATGCTAACCTGGATTAATGTTGCAGGATCTGTTGTGATGTCGAGGAAGCTTTCAATGCTCTCAGCAATCTGAAAGAAACAAAAAGGAAAACCACCACTAATCTCAATCGGAATGCAAATTTGAGAATTGAATCTTACTTTGTCGAAAATAATGAGCAAAACAAGATTTAAAGGTTTGCAAACATTATACAATATGTGATGTCATCTTCAAGAATTGCTTTCACCTGTTATCAGTAAGCAATCAAGCAATATTTCTAATGAACTGTACAAAGAAAACTAGAATAACCGTTGAGAATATGTTATCTCAACTGAAACACAATTTAAGATTAAATGCAGGGGAGACAACTACCATGCGTAGAAAGACAATTTAAAAAGGGAGAAATTTGGACATGATTCCATGAAGGCTAAAAACCACATTAAAATGGCAGATGGGATGTTCCTAAGCATCCGCATGTATAACCAGTATTGTTGAATTTAACGTACAGAAGGCTACATGGGCTATACTCATGATTTAGCGAGATATAGGATGCTATTGAAGGCATATTTGCCTACTTTACTACGAAATCAACGATGAGAGCACCCAAAACCAATACCAGCCAAAACACATCATTATCCATTTCTGACTAGCACAGAAGAAAGCAATCAAGTACAGGCCCATTTGAGGTAAGCTTGGCCTTGCGGATATAAAGATGACTTTCCGCATAAGAAGCATACCTCTCAATAAGCTAATCAAGTGGTGACACTAGGCAGACCTCAAATATCTGATCCTAAAGGAAAAAATAGCATCCAGACACACAGAACTCAGTGACAGTAAGCAGTTAATGAAGGCTGACGTATAAGGCTAAAAAAAGTTTAAATGGCCAAAGAGATGTTTTCAGGCTTACGGTAAAACAAATCCTCCAAGATCCAAAAAATGAATGTATGCATATGTTATACACTAAATTATGATAGTGGTTTGTAGAACTAGAGAACATTATGAAACATTTAAAAAACTAGAGTACTTCCAAAGAATCAAATACGTAAGGTACAAAAAGGAAGAGCATTAATCACCTTAGTTTGTTTAAGAAAATCTTTGGGGTCATTTATCACCAGCCAACCAAGTCGCCAGCCAGGAACAACCCATCTCTTTGATATAGAACCCAGAGTAATGACAGGGGCAATCTCTCCAAATGCTCCCATTGGCACAAATGGATTGCTCCCAAATGTTACGTGATCATACACTTCATCTGCTATTACCATTATACCAAGCTTCTTCGCGGTCTCAGCAATCTAAAGATTACGAGAAAATCAAATTTATAACAGAAAGCAACAGCAGCATATAAAAGACCATAAATGCAACACACCTGGTTCAAATGTTGATAAGTGAACACATTCCCACAAGGGTTTCCAGGGTTAATTACGACCATCGCAACAGTATTTTCGTCCGCAAGAGCCTCTACATTATCTAGATCAACCTCCCAACCTCTCTCTGGAACGAGGTCAAAATGTCGAGCCTCTAGTTTGCTAAAAGCAGCCCGTGCTTCATAAAGTGGGAAACCAGGCCTCGGCAACAAGATATTTGCACCAGGATGAGCAAGAACTGATAGAATAATCTCAATTGCTTGGGTGCAGCCACCCGTAACATACACATCATCAGGAGAAAGCTTGTACGGAAGATCCTTGCTCAAGTACTCAGAAATTGCACTAAAAGAATAGGTTATGAAATTGGATCTCTACTAATACTGATATAACGCTGAGGACATGAAAAAGAAATTTGAAGAAAGAAATTAAAGGATTCGGGAACCACTTTCTGGCAATTACAGCTCCCAAGATAACTTGACAAGTTTAACATGAGAAAGATATGGGTAGAAGCCTTGCTTCAATGAAATCAACAATATATACAAACAAAAGAAACTAGTCAATGTTGCGCGCCTATGCGGAAGCGTGCTCGCACACCGAACGAGTTTGTGAGCCACGGGAGAAAAAAACCAAACAAAACACGAGCACAATCCAATCCAAAATACGACAAATCAAACCAAATACAGAGATATATGTGGTTCGACAATTTTTCTATGTCCACGAGGAGAGGATGAGGAGATTCCAATTAAATCAAGGAGAGTACAAAGGGTTACAATCTCACAAAAGCGCACAAATAAACCCTAAACCAAATCTCTCAACTTGCTCATAAGTTCTCCCTCTCAATATGCTCAGTACAATCTCAAATCTCTTATATCAAACCCTAGAAAATCGTGTTTGATTATATATCAAACAACAATCCCAAATAGAGCAGGAAACCAAGCCCAGGCCCAGACCCGACACGCGGTCGACTGCCGCGCCAGTCGCGGTCGACCGTGGCTAACGACAGAAACTAAAAATCCATTACAGGGTCTAGCGGTCGACCGCCGCGCCAGCCGACGCGGTCGACTACCAAAAGTCTAGAGACTTTTTCCTGTGCTGTGCACGTTTACGGTCAACCGCCGCGCCACTCGCGGTCGACCATGAAACTTCCAAATGCCTGTCAGCTTTATTTTTCCTGAATTCTTCAATTCTCCACATCGGTGAAGTTTTTCCAAAATTAAGCCGACACCAAACTAACGTCCCACTTGTTGTGTCCAGTACAAAGTGGAAGTAATCCACAATAACGGACTCAATCCACAACAAGTCAGAACCCAAAATCGGCTGCACCAATGAGGTTGCCTACGTACCCCCTCTCCTAAGAGATCAAGCCGCCCATAGTTCATCTAAATGGCCGCCAACTGCCTCAACAATCTAGAATATTCAACAAGTTTCTACAATGATCAAACTTGTTACTCGGAACCATCTTAGTGAGCATATCCGTCGGATTATACTTTGTGTGGACCTTCACAATCTCCACATCATCATCTTTAAGAACATCCTGAACGAAGTGATAACGAACGTCAATATGCTTCGTCCGCGCATGAAAAACCCGGTTCTTTGCCAAATAGATAGCACTCATGCTATCACGATGTATAGTGACGAACCGCTGCGATATACCAAGTTTCTTCAAAAGTCCCCGCAACCAAATAGCCTCCTTCACAACCTCCGTAATCGTCATATACTCTGCCTCGGTCGTCGACAAAGCCATCGTAGACTGTAAGATACATCTCCAACACACCAGCGCATGGGTCAAAGTGAAAACATATCCCATTGTAGAGCGGTGCTTATCCAAATCTCCGGTATAATCTAAATTAATATAGCCAATGCACAACTGCCCACCTCTAGTGTCCCGCTCAAAAACTGAACCAAAATTGAGGGTATCACGAATGTATCACAAAATCCATCTCACGACGTCCTATTGACCCACTCTTGAATCGTGCATGTATCTTGAAATCATACTCACCGCCTGTAATAAATCTGACCTTGTACATACCATCGCATACATCAAGCTTCCAACCGCGCTCGCATATAGATTCTTCAACATCAACTCTCTGTCTTCAACTTTCTTCGGTGAAATGTCAGCTGAAAGCTTCAAATAGGCTCCCAAAGATACACTAACTTGCTTCGAATCCATGCTAACATAAAATCAATGTATAACCTTCTTCAAATAAACCACTTATGTTAAATAAATTATGCCCTTCTCTTTGTCTCTGTCGATCTCCATCCCTAAAAAGCGCTTAGCCTCACCCAAATCTTTCATCTCAAACTCCTTTAAAAGCTATGCCTTCAACTCATCTATAACAGACCTGAAAATAGAGGCAACCAACATTTCATCGACATAAAGTAATAAATAAATATACGCACCTCCTTTCAACTTGCGAAAATATACAATGATCAAATTGGCTCCGAGTGTATGAATGACTGATCATAAATCCATTGAATCGTCTATACTACTGTCGAGGAGACTGCTTCAAACCGTATATCGAAATCATCAAACTTTTTCTTTCATGCAGCTCGGAATCCCAATGGCTGAGTTATATATATTTCTTCATCAAAATCATCATGAAGAAATACAGTCTCCACATCTAACTGATCTAACTCCAATCCATACTATGGTACCAAAGCTAGAAAAATCTGAATCGAAAAATATTTTACCACTGGAAAGAAAACCTCATTATAATCAATACATTCCTCCTGTGCATAGCCCTTCGCAACCAACCTAGCATTGAACCTCACTAGAGTGCCTTCAATACCCTCCTTCGTGTATACCCACTTGCAACTAATCGCCTTCCATCCATTTGGGAGCTCAACAAGCTCCCATGTATCGTTCTTGTGAAGAGACTTCATCTCCTTCTGCATAGCTACCTGTCACGAATCAACCTCCGGACTCTGTTCGGTCTCTCTGAATGTAGTAGGCACCAACTCATCGATACTCTCCTCCGAAAGTGCATATACAACTACTGTGTTGATATACCATGCTGGCATCCGTATGTCTCTCTTCTATCTTCGAACTGTAATTGAATCCTGAACCTGAGCCGTCGGTCCCTAATCCTGCACATCTATACTCGTATCCTTCTCGTCATCGCCGTGCTCGCCTGACGTCACCTCAGTCGGCACTCTAATAGATACTGTACCATCTGGACAATGTGAAGCTGCATCGATCTCCACCATCTGTGATGTCTCCAATATCGGGTCGCACTCCACCTGATGAGTGCTAGGAAGCTTCAAGATAGAAACCTCATCAAACGTGACATCTTTACTCAACACAATCTTCCTATCAACTGGATCCCATACCTTGTATCCCTTGACACCACGCTTGAATCCTACAAGTATGATATTTCTAGCTCGAGGTTCCACCTTATAATTCTTAACATGATAGTATGCAGGACACCCAAATACCTTGAGCTGGTCATAGTCGTATGTTGTCTCTTTCGACCATATCTCCATAGGGGTGTTACTCTCAATCGCAGATGAAAGCAGCTTGTTAATGAGGTGACTTGCATATAAAAATACTTCAGTCCAAAAGATCTTCTCAAAACCACTATGCGTCAACAAACATCGAATCTTCTCTAATAAAAACCGATTTAACATCTCTGTCACCCCCATTCTCTGTTGCGGTGTATGACTAACTGTGAAGTGTCTATCTATGCCATCATCTCGACATAACTGCTGAAAGGGGTCTGATGTATACTCACCACCGTTATCGGATCGTAACGTCTTGATCTTTCTCCCAGTCTACAGTTTTAATCTCTTTTTATTCCACAAATATATCTAGGACTTTACTTTTTTTTGTCATGGTGTACACCCAACAACGTCTAGAATAGTCATTAACGAATATGACGAACCAATGTCGACCACCAAGTGATGCAGTCTTTGTGAGACCGTAAACATCTGTGTGCATGTAATTCAGGATGCCCCTCGTCCTATGAATAGCAGTCTCGAACTTCACCTTCATATTCTTGCCAAGTACACAGTGCTCACAGAACTCAACATTTCCACTTTTGGCTCCCTTTAATAGCCCATGCTTGCACAGCGCCTGCAGTGACTTCTCTCCTGTGTGTCCCAACCTGTAGTGCCAAAGTCTGCTCATGTTCGCCTCTAAAATAGTTGAACCTACCTGGCCAATCTCGGTACTCCCTTTCAGATAATATAAGTTCCGACTGCAGACTCTCTTCATCACCACCAAAGATCCCTTAGTAACCTTTGCTACAACATTCTCAAAGATCACCTTTAATCCTTTCGTCTCTAAAGCTCCAAAAGAGATAAGATTCTTCTTCAATTAAGGAACAAATCCCACATTCTTTAATTCACGAACTACTCCATTATGCATCTGAATCCTCACGGTACCTATCCTACAAATGCCACAGGATTTATCATTTCCCATGACAACACCCCTATTGAGTCTCTCAAACGATGCAAACTAATCTCACCTAGGGGTCACATGATAAATAACGCCAGAATCAAGCATCCAATCTGACGCATCCATAGGATTTACCTTCGGAGTAATCAATAGAAAAAGCTCGAATCATCGGAATCATCGTCTTTCGTAATATTCACCTCATTGGCCTTCGGGCCCTTTTTCTTGAAATTCTCCTTCTCCTTGAGCTTCGGACAGTCTCTTTTTTAATGTTTTCGTTCCTTGCAGAATACACATTGGTTCTTTGCTAACTGGTGATAACCTCTAGACATTGACCTGCCTCTATTACTACCTCTCGGATATGAGTTTCTACCTCTCATCGTCAAGGTCTCTCCTGAAGTACTAGCGCGAAAAGTCTCATTGTCCTTCCTTCTCAAATTATAATTCGTCAAAGCGTTAGTTACTTCACTATACCTGATAGAAGATCTCTCATTCAACAAAGTAAACACAATTGTATCATACTCATCCAGTAACAAGCCCAAAAGAATAATAGCTTTGTACTCATCCGATATCTTCTCATCAATATTCGCCAAGTTCGATAACAATTTGGTGTAGTTGTTCACATGAATTGGTAGTGAGGTGCCCATGGACATCTGAAATCTGAATAACCTACGCAGCAAGTGTAATCTGTTCTCAACACTCTTTAAAAAATACTTGTTGTTGAAAATTTTTCACATCTTCATTACAGACGTCACCCCAATCACATCATATTTCAGCTCATGTTCCAAATAATATCTGATCACCCCACAAGAGTTCCTATTCATCTTTTCTCATACCAACTCTTCATATTTAGGTGGTCTCTCTTGGATCATGATGGTCTCCTCCAAATTCTGAGCATTAAGCGCATTCTGAACATCGCTCATCCACAACCCAAAATTGATCTTGCCGTCATATTTGATGGCCTAAGCGAACTTGATTGGAAATAATTAAGAAGGATACAGTAATAGTTAACATAGAATATATCTTTGACAAAACCGCATGGAAGGACATGATTCGTGTAGCTTATCCCGAAAATTTTTGACATAAAATTGTTGTTGTATCATCTTTTCAGTTAGTAAAGATCTTCAATGCGTTTGTCCACGCTTTCTAGGTCCACTTTGTATCAGTTTTCTTAGGATCAAAATTGGAAACCCTTTCAATGCTAGTGACATTCTGTAGCAACGAACATGTTGCTAGTTCATAATTTGGAAACACATATAGTTAGCTGTGCATGTTTCTGGGTTGTAACTTATATGTAGGTAACTCATCCAATTTAGGAAGAAACAAAGATCAACAGATTATGGAGAAAAACTTGTAGTTTTATTTGCTCGAACCTGCCTTATGTTCAATATTGTTGTGTCATCAAGGCGTAATTAAACAAATGCGCTACCTAAATGGCTAGGTGGTTTTTTTAAAATAAGGGTTATTTGCACTCAAATACTCCAGACCTTGCTCCAGTTTTAACTTTGATATCCCCAGAGTATTCTTCTGCTTAAAAAAAACCGAAAGCTCAGCTTATTTTTAACTTGGATGCCCCAAAGTTGTCTTGACTCGAAGAATACAGCCCAAGTCTAACAAATTTTAACTTTGATACCCAAACTTTAACAAAATTTAGCAAAATTTTAATTTTGGGGGCCAAAAAGATTTGGTATATAAAAATTTAACAAAATATAACTTTGATACCCAAACTATTACATTTAACAAAACAAATTTAGTTTTGGGTTTGAACTTTGGGATAATTTTTGGGACAAAAGAAACTTAGGTGTATCAAAGTTAAACTTTTTTGTTGAACTTAGAGTAGTTATTGGCCAAATAAAAACTTGGGGATATGAAAATAAAAAACATGATGTAAAGTTTAGGGTACTTGAGAGCAAATAACCCTTAAAATAATGATTTAAACTTCATCGACGATCTAGCTTAAATTATAGTTATAACTTGAGTGTGTTTGGCAACCAAAGTTTTTCTTTTTGTAGTGTTTTTTTAAAAAACATCATACCATGGTGTTTATTTTTCAAATGTGTGTTCAAAACACCATTTATAGTTATTATTTATATAGCGGCGGCGACGGCGGAAGGCGGCGGCCGTCCCCGCCCCCCCGAACGGAAGGGCGGCGGCCGGCGACGGAAGGCAACCCGCGTGATGACCAAGTGAGGGGGACGACCGGCGACGAGCGGCAGACGACGGCGGACGTGCGACGGCAGGCGGCGGATGGCCGTGCGGCCGCCGACGCCAATTTCACCTGCCCGGCGCGAACGGGCGGGGCGGGGCGGAGCTGACCACCGAAGCGGGGCTGGCGGACTGTCGCGCAGACCGGGCGGCAAAACGACGCGCCTGCGGGCGGCCGGCGCGGGAGCGGGCGACGGACCGGCGGACGGGGCAGCGCGGGCGACGACGGGCGAGCGGACGGAGCCCTAGGCTGCGACGGCGTGACGGACGGGCGAGACGGCGGCGAGCGTCGTTTGGTGGGCGGCAGCGTGCGGACGGTCGACGAGCACAAGCGGGTGGGCGGCGCGGACAGCCCAATACGGCGGCGGCGGCGACGGGCGGGTGGCGAGGCAGGGCGGTAGCCGCGGGTGTGGCGGCGGGAGGCGGTGGGCGAGCGGCCCGGATGAGCAGAGCGGCGAGCGACGGCGCGGCTTAGAATAAAAAACGGGCATGGTGAACGGTGCGAGCGGGCACCGACAGGCGACGACTGCAGGCGGCGGAGGGCGGTAGTAGGCGGCGCGAGCGCGGCTGGTGGTGGCGGGCGGCGGACGGCACGCTGACGAGCAGCGAGCGGGGTGGCGGAAGGGTCGGCGGCTTAGATGAAAGAACGAATTTTAAAAGCACATTTTTGTGTTTTAAGAAAGGCGTTTATTTTTTGGGATTTTGTAAAAGGATTCAAGTCAAAATTGCTCCGGTGACCCAAGACACGTTCATATGTTTTTTTATTTAAAAAAAACGAAAAAACGGTAAAAACGTCATTGTTGTCAAACGCTCCTTATACTTATTAAAAAAATTGCGATGCTGTTCGCGCTGGAAATCAAGAAACAAATAATTTTTAGGACGTCAATTATAAGTGAAACGACTCAAGGCTTTAGCAATTACGATGAAATAATCAGCCGGCATCTAGCTTGAAGGAATGCCGGAGGTGAGGCAATCCATTGATCCCGAGGACTTGAGGGCGGAGATGAGCGGCGTCCTCAGCGACGGAAGAAGTACGAAAGCAAGCGAATTTCGAGGGGTCGCCATGCGCCGAGAGGATAACCTCGCGTTTTCCGCCATCATCTTCCACCTGCGACATCAGCAGGTTCAGGCACAGCCGCGAATGTTGTTGAGGTTGCGCCGCCAGTTAGCGTCGATAGAAGGCGCTGTCGCGGGCGGATGAGAACTTCCATTGGATTCTTCTTCCACCTCCATTCTCCTCCATAGGGAGTGATGAAGGAGATAGAGGGTTAGGGGCATAGGGAGAAGGACCGGGCTGGCTTTTATTGAGCAATGAGCATCTTTCTCACGTAGGACAAACATTCTTTGGGGCGGACCAAAACAAATCTTTGTCCTATGCAGAATGCTGCCTAAATTGCAAAAAAATATCATTAAGTTTTAAGAAATGATAGAAGCACACTCTAAGGCACACTACCAACCACACCCCCTCTCTCTCTACAGTGCAGGGGGCCCCTCACATGTGGGGCCCCCTGCACTGTAGAGAGAGAGGGAGTGTGGTTGGTGGTGTGCCTTAGAGTGTGCCTGTAGCGCCTCTCTTAAGTTTTATGTTTTGACAATTAGAAATAATATTTTAATAAAAATAATACTATGAAGTTCCTAAATTTTCCACCTTAATATCATCGGTCATGCAAATATGAAAATTTTAGCTGAATGTTTCTCTATGATACTTACACACTAATTTTAAAGTTGTTTTATCATTAATATTTGTAAAGACTTACCTTTACATGGTTCTTCTATGACATTATTATTAAAATAAAGGTTTAATTTCACATAACCTTCTAGGGGTGTTGCCGTACAATTCCCTTGAAAATATTTTAACTTAAAAAGACTCTACTAAACTTGGCAAGTCTCATAGGTAACCTTTATGAGCAACTTTCACGCCATTAGAGGGGGCTTGAAATTTGGGGTGTCTCAAAAAACCCTCGTGAACTTGAAACTTTTCTGGAGAGTAGGAGTGAATGTTAATCGGTTTCAACAAATTAATTGATCAAACTGATCGAACCAACCAAATTTTGACTATTTGGTTTGATTTTAGAATATAGTTCGGCCAGCTTAGTTTGGGCAAATTTCGACGCTAACAAATCGAACCAAATACTATCCCAATTATCTAAGGGCTTGTTTGGATTGAGGGGAATGAGGGTGAAGGGAAGTTAGGGGAACCATTCATCTCCATTCACCTTGTTTGGGAACACTTAGGAGGTGAAGTTAATTCACCCTAGTTCCCCTTGGTTCACCCCCTAATAGTATAAAAATTGTTACCCCCCAAATTGAGGTGTAACCAAGGGGAAGGGAACTCCCTTCCCTTCCCTTCCCTTCCCTTCACTCAGTTTCCCTTAACTTTCCTTCACCCCCTACAAATCCAAACAGGTCCTAAAACATGAAGTTTCTTTTTCATTAATCCTTAAGTTTTCTTTCACTTTTCCTCAAAAATTTTATTATTTTTGTAATAGCTCCCAAGAATATATTGAGGAAGGGTCCAGGAGGTACATAAAAATTAGGCATGATCCGACCGTAATATTGAGAGCTTTCTCAATTCTTATATACACTCATGTCGAATCAATAATACCAAAAAGCAGAATAAAGTAGTAGAAATATATACAACATCCAAAATCACAAGGTTGACAAAATAGTCTAAAGAATATCAGAATATTAAGAAAAGCTAAAGGGAACAATGTTATATAGTTTGATCATAGAGTTGCAAAATCAAAAGTACTACAAAAGATAACTAAAAAATTACTTCTACTTAGCTGAGCTTTGAGCTGGTCTTCTTTGGGGTTTGTGATCCCCTTGTCCTTAACTGGATTTCTACCTATGGATGGATGCAGAAACAATAAGAACCATAAAAATCTTGCGTACAAACATAAGAGGGAAAAAAAATAAAGGATTAGTTATACAGACAATTGAAATTGAAATAAATAGATATCAACAATAATTATTAATGTTCATAATATGATCGCCGATCGAAATGGAACTTGTGAATATCAATGATGAATAATCAATCTCTAATATTCAGAATTCTAAATTCCCTAATCACAGAATAAATATCAATGAACCACGCATACCTTTATATAACACACCCACCAACGAACTTCTTCGTGTAAAGGGCAATGTCGCCTAGGACTATTTTTATTTATAACCCACTGGTGAGTTACCTCATGTAAAGGGCATTAAATCTGTGAATATAGAGTATCAAACCAACAATAAATAACAAGCGTCGCAAACCAAGGCAATAGAGCCATCGAAATAAGTGATGAGTGATGACTCATCATGCCACAATTAACTTCAGGGTCTCAATGGCACAATATTAAAACTAACAAACAATGGTATTGCTATGAACAATAATTGACAATCAACTCATGCATGAAGTTATTCAATTAAGCACAATTGAACATCTAATTTTCAAGAAGGCAAACAATCGAATTCTTAATGAGTTGAGAGGGAGAAAGGAAAGTTTACCTATTGTTCTTACCGGAATCCTTGATACCGTGAAATAATTCCAAGAGGTTTGTTCCTATGTAAACATACACATACACCCATATAAGCATCTACACAACTAGGTTATACATTTGCTTGGTACACTGATATAAGCATTTACATGACTAGGTTATACATTTGCTTGGTACACCCATATAAACATCTACACGAATAGGTTATACATTTGCTTGACATAGATATGTATGAATCTATATGCAATGCATGATCGTGAATGGTCAGCTAAAACAATAGTTGTATCATGATTTGTGATGCCAAAATGGTTAGCTAGACAAGGTCCAAGTTTTGTAAAATTAGAGTTATTTTACTTGTATAAGAGTATACTTCCTAAAATATGAAGTTTTGTACTAATTAGGCAATGAGAGATGGTGTTATATATACAAATGCATGATATGTACGGAAAGAAACATAGATTGCATTAGAAGATACACATAACTATTTGAGAGCATAAACAATATCCAAATTCAATGACATCAGAGCCAAAATGTTCATATATCCGTCTATTTTTTAGATTATTAATTTAACTGAGAATATCTATAATGTGCATAGAGATATGGCATTAGTAGTATATAGTTATCTATAGCTAATAACATACAGATTCCAGATTCATGTCTTAAGTCTCTGACTAATTCTAGTCAAACTAAAATCATCCAAAATAGATAAAATTATTGCTATAGTAATATTGATGGATCTATATTTTAAAACAAAAATCTCTTTCTATATAATTCAAACTAAGGTAAGACCACGTGCAAAATATTACATAGGGGTCTTGTTATTTGTTTAGTGTACATGTATTAGATTCAAGCATGGATTAAAAAAAGCTAATGATCTTAGAATTGAATTGAGTATGTTAACTAAATGTGAAAAAATAACAGGGCATAAAAATATACCTCTAAAGTTGCAAGCGCGCAATCCTCAGTTTATAGTATAAAAAGTTATCGATCCCACGAGGAAGATGTTTGTAGGAAAAAATCAAAATTGGTTCCTATATTGTGTGTGTGACAATTAAGAGTGATGGATATGATTGTGGAGAGATAGAGAGAGTGAGAGTGATTGTACGTAAATAAAAATAAAACGAGATTGAGAGTGGAGAGATAAAGAGTGGATGTGATAAAGTGTAAATGTAAATAAAACTAATAAAAGGGAAGAAAGAAAGATGAAGGAAATAAAATCAAGAGAAAAATCAAGAATAAAGATGAAAATAAAAAAAGTAAAAGATGGAGGATTCAATTAGAGATATGATGAATGTAGAATTGAATCCAATAGCTAGTTTCATATAATTTCTATAGTTCCCACAAGTATTAGTTTCACATCTTTAAAAAAAGGGTAATTTCTTAGAGAGTTCTAGCAAAAAAAAAAAAACTAATCCCAAGAGGGTTCTAACCTCAAGACGAATAGTGCAAGAACATAAAGTCTAAACTACAAAATAAATTACAAAATCTAAACTACAAAATAAATGCAAGAATTTAAAGCAAGGAAGTAAATACATGAAAGTAACTCTACTCTACAAGCATGAAAATAAATCTAAGGCGAGATGGTTTTAGCCTCTTAGCTATTTAAACAAGAAAAAAAGGTAAAAGATAAATTTATTAACAAAGAGAAAATTTACATCCCAAGAGGGTTCTAGCCTCAAGTTGATAGTAAACCTTCATCTTGATCTTCATCTTCATCCCACCTTCATCTGCATAATTAAACAAAGAGAAAAAAAGAAAAATATGAAGAGGTGAAAATATTTATTTATTAATTGTAATAAAAAGTTACAATTTGGAAGGTCTTCTCAATTAAGAGTAACCCTCCTCTCCAAAATAAGTTTTTACAAAATATTTCACACCCCAAACCCCTCACTCTCTATCCAAATTTATAGAGTATTATAGCAAATATTAACCATTGGATTAAACTTGATCCTCAAGTTAATCAATTTTAGCCTTTAATCCATAATAGTAAACATGTTATCGATCAACTACCGATACGGGTATTGATTCTCAGTCATCTTGTTCTTCGAGCGATCTTCTCTTGTGTGTATAGGCTTGGACTTTTTGGGCTTTTTGAGAGACGAGATGTTGAGTTCTCTTGGGCTTTAATTCATTAACCTGTATTTAAGATAACACATGTTTATTAGTGATATTTTATTTAAATCAAATAGATAATAAGGGTATAAAAATATAATAGAAATGTGATTATCAAGAAAGTATAGTTTCTAAAATAGAAAATTATTTTAAAAAATAAGTTTGTTTAGAGGAAGATATGCTCAAATCACTATCAATATGTTCTGCATGAAACTGGTGTATTAGGACGAAGTTAGTAATATCGACATGCAAGCCTACTTAGCCATTAACTAATGCACAACCCATCATAATTTTATATTAGAAGACTAAGAAACATACATGATTATATTTTTTATTAAAATGCATAAAAATGTGGCCTTCTACACTCTAGATTGACATGCATCCTTATACACATTTCATATCCTACGTGCAAGCATAAATCCAATCAAACATGTGCATGCATGACTATATAAGCTTTAGAACATGAAAATTTTAGTTTAATATCAAGACAATCAAGAAAAATGGGGACTTGTTTGAGATAGTACCTATAAGAGAAGATAGAATCCGATTTTCTTCTCCAAAACCTTCTTTTAAGCTCCTTCCTCCTTCTAGACTTATAGGTGAGGGCTTCATAGATGTTTTTATCTATAAAATGGAAAAAAGAGGAGAGATTGAGGCTGGAGGATGGCTGACCAAAGGGAGAGAGGAGAA